AATGTACTTAGTACAGAGTCTACAGGGTCTCACTCACTACACAGATAGGACTCATAATGGTTCTCCTGTTTTCAGCCTCCCAAGTGCTGGGATTACAGGTGAGTGCCACCACGCCCAGTCTAGCATATACTTTTTTTTGGGGGGGGGGGCAGAACTGGGGATTGAACTCAGGCCCTTGCACTTGCCAGGCAAGCACTTATTCTACTGAGCCATCTCCCCAGTGCTTTTTTTTTTTTTTTTTACATATACTATTTTTAAAAACTAATGTGTATATATAACTTTAGACCTAAAACAGTAACATAAGTACTCTAAATAAAATTTTTGTTTTATATTTTATTATGTCAAAAGCATTTTTAAAAAACTTTATCCTCATTTGATTCATTAAGTCAACCAAACATCTGTGAAATACCGCTTAAAACTCCCTACCACAGAAACATGAAGTCCAAAACAAGGATTGATCTCTTAGTACTAAGTTTCTCTTTAAATAGGTAAGAAAAACTATTCTTAGTTTTGCATGATAAAAACACAATAATGGAGGAAGCTGGACTTTCCAACCCAACTGTTTCTGACAGATAATAGATTCTATTTGAATGGGGAATTGTTGAAGCCAAATAATTTCCAACACTTCCTTTGCCTTCCCCCATGTACATCATGAGACATAAGCAGCAGCTGTTGCCCACTCAGGCCTTCTTTCCTCCAAGAGTTGCTTCAAGGGACTGAGCAAGAAGGTGCAAATACATCTGTCTTTCTCTGTTTGTAGTTTCACCAGCCTCATGTATGTCTTGGAGTGAGACAGATGGTCCCTGACACTGCACAGGCTTACAGGGATATATATTTGTAAAAATAAGAAGACAGATGTTAAATATGATAAACACATACTTGTCCCCTGAAGGTTCAAGTTAAGGCATCTATCTTAATTTCAATATTTGAATACTGGATCCTAGGCAATTCTTAGAAATCTCTGCTACAGAAATATAACATGTTATGGTTATGAAAAAAGAAGTGAAATTGTAAGATAAACCAAAAATTATATTCTGAAGACTCTTTGTGTAACTACGATTAAATCATATATCAATGTGAAACATTTCAAGTGACATAAATGGCAAAGTCTTTTAATCCAACAGTGATCAAAAATTATAATTACTATCATCAAATAATCATCAGTTACTATACTCTGTATTGCTAGGAAAGGATAAAAAGAATAGGTGGGAAGGGAAAAAAGAACAGTAGGTTGTATAATTTGTGATACACTGAAGCTTTATAACACGGACTCATTATAAATAACAATATTTTTTCTCATGGTTTATTTTTATTCCTTATTTTTAAAGAGAAAAAAATAGATAAAACATCAGAAAGGATACAGAACTTTTTTAAAAAGAAGATGCTAGGAATTCAACAATGGTTGTTATATTGCACATTGTTGATTCCAAAGTAGTTGCTCAGATTATCAGATATAAGCATATAAAATTAGTGAAAAAAATTTAAGCATTAAGTGTTCCCTTTGAAAAACCAATAGAAATTAGTAGCACAATCACCCTTGCTATCCTGTGTATACACAAAAATTTTTTCTCCCTCCCTTTTCTCTTTTCCTTCATTCCAACCATTCTTTCCTTTTGAGCAGTTTCTTTCCCTTTTACAATATATATTGTACTTTACAGATTTTATTTCCTCTTTCATGTTCTTACACTAGGGAGACAATCTGATGTTTACATATGTAGGTCTGATTTATTTCATTTATGAATATAGTCTCTAGTTGCATCCATTTACCTATAAAAGCGTCAAGTTTGTCCTTCTTTATAGCTCAGTAATACTCCATTGTATAACAATACAACCTCTTTTCTTATCCATTCCTCAGTTGATGTCCATTTAGGTTGTTTCCGAGATTGTGCTGCTATAAAAATCGGTGCACATATATCACTGTGGTGTGAAAAGTCTCTGTCTGTCTGTGTGTCT